CCTCTGTGCAATCTCATTTATATTATAGTTACGTGGCGATTTACTTTAATTATGACTTTCTTTGGCTCATCATCATGATTGACCAGAATGTTAATCATATTTATATGGAATTCTCTAACCTATAACTTATCTGAAATGTGGTTGATACCATATATCGAAAGGAAAAGACACTGCCGAAAGTCCTTCAAAATAATTATAACACCAACAGTGTAACAGTAACAGAAAATACTTTCCTGTCAATCGAAATGTTACATGAAATGTTACAATTACTAATACTATATACATAAAACAGAATAACATTTTTTACTGTAACAATCATGTTATGGAATGTTTTTGAAATATGCTTTCATAGAAAATTATCGGTACTATTCCAATAAATACAGGTTTGTGCTCATCCAGATCACAAAAAATAAAAATTTCACTTTCGTTGATTCATTGTGAACTGCTCACAAAAAACAACGACCTCATGCAGAAAAAACTGTACGCAGAGAATTTAAAAAATTATCTATTTCTTTTTGAATGTAAGGAAGAAATCATACTTGAAATAATATAATTTGAATTTTACGAGTATGTAGTACAGAATTCTGAGCAATGTTCTAGAATTAAAAATTAAAATAAATGAAAAAAACTAATTGTGGGCTTATGGATTGGCAACGTTTTCTGTGCGGTTTCCAGCTTCTTTCAGTAAAATTGAAGATTTTTTGAAGTAAAACTTCTTTAGGCGCGACTAGGGTGTAAATCCGTACAAATGCAACGGAAGTGAGTTACGACAGATAAGAGTCGAGTGCCAATGATTCGTCATTCGATGGTATTTCTATACGATTGTGGTTAGTAGTCGAGTATGTGAATAGAATTCTGTCGTTGTATGCGTACCGATACCAACAAGGAAATCGGCATAGATAATCATTTTAAAGTTACATTGTAGTACTAATCTTGATTTAATGAAAAATGCCTGAATCAGAAGAATATTATATCCTGTTCCTTGAAAATATTGATTAATAAGATTTATAATTAGTGAGTTTATTGATTAGAAATTATTTCTATATTATTCGTAGTTTCTATAAATCTTTGAAGTTATTAAAATGAGATTATATAAAAAGTAAAAAAAATACAAGCAGCCAATGAATGTATGTAAATTTTAATTTCATGAAGTTTTTCAAACACAATTACATGATAAATGAAGTTGCAAAAACAATATTTGTTTAGGCGTTGTTTAAAAAGATGGAAAATTAAATCGAAAGTTCTGCAAAAGTAAAGGGCATCTTAAGCTCACAAAAAATTATGAGCTGTTCGTTCTGGTAATTTTTCACTCCAAGAAAAAATGATTAGAAAGAAATTGTCTACTTTGAACTGCTATTACTAACCGATTCGTCAATTCTGTTGTCTACATTAAACAAATAGCGAAACTAAATAATGCTGTTGAAAAAAAATTGGCTTTTTTAGCAAATAGAATTGGTGATTTATACCAATTATTGATATCACATATCTTTGGCCACTTGGAAAAAATAATTGGAGCTTGGTTGGGATGTTTTTCCATATACGCCATATAGTCCTAACCTTGCTTTCATTACTTTCATTACTTTTTGTTTCAAATGAGTTAAACTATTAGCAAAGTATAAGTATTTTTATTATTTATTCTGATATCTGAAATTATCTTTAATTTTTCATCATATGTGGTATAGTTTCATCATATCGCCCACTTTTTAGTTGTCAGAAAGCTTTCAACTGCAGTAATACAATTTTCGTAAGCTATTTGGCTAATAAGAAACACATCACACACGCAAACTAAGTACACTTATACAATATACATATTTAAACATTCGCATTATATATTAACATATATAGCATAGATAGCTAATAAAAACTAATAATAATATAATAACTAAAGATTAACAACATAATCTCTTCAATGAGAGATTTAAAAATAGATCGATAAAAATTTAAATTATACAATTCAATTTGAATCTGTTAGCTAATTTGATCAGACGACTCACTATTGGAGAATTAAGAAAGAAAGTTAATAATTCATTAGGATGTTCATCGATTGAAACAACTGCGTAATTTTATTGTATCCTGTCAGCAGTTTAAGAAATTTTGCATATGCAACCTTGAAACATTTTTTCCAGCTCTTCCTCGACTTCGAGTGATTTAGTATTCATGAACTTGTTCCCGCATTAGAGAATCATTGTTTTCATCACATGATTATAATGTATATTGTTCAGCCTGACCATAAACTATCGACTGTCGAGGAACACGGTCCGGTAATAAACGAATAATTGCCCATAAATATTTCCTTGCATTTGCAAATGGTTCCGCGTGCGATTCGAGATGTTTATGAATATTTGCTCCTTATTTATTCGTTATTTGCGCATCGCATAACTGCTAGAACATGAAATATACTGCATTCAGTATTTGTTAAAAATATGTTTTATATCGAACACAACACTTATTACATTCTTTTTTTCTGATTGCGCTGTTTGACATTTCGGAGGTTGACTTTTACTTTATAGCCGGACGTTGTGTAATCGTTATCAACGTTGACTACAAAACATAAGTTCCAGGTTTGACCCCTCGGCCAGCTTGATATCAAGCAGTGATGACATCGGTTTCCACTTGGAAATATATATAGCAATATGTTTCCAAGTGAAAATAGTCTTTGTCCAGCAAAGAAATTGTAATAAGATAGGACAACTATTTTTGTTTGCCATCAGTAAAACCGACATTAGTAAAGTAAAATCATTAAAATATTTTATAGAACCTTAAGGGTCCGATAGCAGTTCCGGTAGCTGTTAAAAAAAATTCTAACTTTATTTCAATAGTATGTTGGTATTATTCTATCTTTTCATAAAATCGCCATTAATTTATAATAATCTTTTTGTTTTAGTGACCGGTATTATTGTATTTGCCAAATAACTTTTTTTAGGGGGTACGACTTAAGCAACCCTATTGTGTACTTCGCACTCTTTACATTTCACTTTCAAATAAAAAGAGTGAAAATATTTAGTGGTTTTTTAATAGAATTTTCAAACAAAAAATATTCAGTAGATTTTTTAAGAAATTTTTCAAAAAAAGCTAGTTGGCGGACTCTATATTTTATTCAGCAAATCATTCCTAATCCAACAGTATGCAAGAATTAATATATCTCGATTTGTACATAGTATTTGAAGTGTGGAAATATTGAATTTTTCTTAAATATTATTATTGGTGCCAATAAATCACTCTGGAAATATTTTTTACACTTACAACGCGTAATTAACTTAAATGAATAAGAACTAATAAATACACGATTGAAAGAAATAGTATAAATGACTTAATAGCGCTTTTCAATCAAATGCTTTTATTTAAAGATATTAAATAAGTCTCTATTTAATTTATTATCAATAAATTCTTTATAAATTATTCTTCACGCCTGGCTTTTCTCAAATGTCTATTTTAAAGATATACTAACTTAATAAAAGTATTGTTCAAGTAAATAAATGTAACGATTTTTTTTTTTACTTTTAAATGTATGCATTTTATTTAATAATTTTACATTTATTAGAGCTGGTCAATTTGCTGAGGGCGAAATAAATCGCTTAAGCACATATTATTTTCGGATTCTAGGGATCAAAATAAGGAACTTTGCTTAAGAAACCCTACCCCTAAAATAAATTTTGATATCCTGTGAGGTTTGAATTTTGAAAAATTTTGCTTTGACCCATTTAGAGTGCCGTAGATAATATATCAGATATTTATATAGTATATAATATATATATATATATATATATATATATATATTGTTATAATTTATTTTTGTTAATCAAGACTTTAATGTCTTATTTACAAAATTGATAGGTACAAAAAGAAATGATACAAAAACTACAATAAATTGAATAAAAAAATATATAGTATATGTAATAAATTAATAATTATTTTTATTTATAATGATATGTAATCAGGGTTCGAAGTCGCGAATATGAGTCGGTGCTGACTGTGATAATAAAAAACCAAAAAAGCTTTTTAAAAAATATTTCTATTTGACAAATCGAAGACACAAACATTGATAATCTGCAATATTTTGATTTAAACTTTTTGAGTCCTTTTATTTAATCTTTGCAGTCCATATGTATCAGTATGCATATTCTCAATATATTTCTTACTCAAATTTATGCTATGTTATGTTACGTAATCATATCCAGCAATTTTCTTTCTTTTCTTGATAGTCTTTCCAATGTTCAATTTCACTTGTTAGAATTTCAATAAAACTTTTTGTAATTATATATTTAAGATAGTTGTAGAATATTATTTTTATAATTGAAATAAATGGTATAAATAATATAAATTTAACCCGTTGCACTCGAATGCCGCTGCTCCGGCGGCAAAATTCATATAAATCTCGGAATTCGCGAGTGGAAAGGGATAATAAATACTTTTAAAGACAAAAAGAACTCATCAATTCAAAAGAAATTCATCACATTATTCTCACATAGATATATTAATTTTCTCATAAGATGCAAAAAATTACAAATTAAATTTTAACATACTTTATTAGACAAAAATCTAATAAAATCAGTATAATTTAAGATAAATTCAAGTAAATGGTTAATATCAGTTAGCAATCAATAATAATACAATCTAGATCTGAATGATATCTATATTATGTTGATTATGTAACTGTAATTATTGGATGCACGTGCTTTATTTTTGATAGTGCCTACTGAAATTGTATGATGCTGAGTACACACTTGAATGCTACAATTTTAAGATAAGATTAGATCAATTTCAACATAAAAATAAGCACATTGTAAAAAAATATTTTGTTGCAAAATGCACTTAGCATATGGTTATACTTTTATATTATAATTTTTTTTGAAAACTGCATGTTGGATCCCATTCTACTATTTTTAAAATAGGCATGTGAAAATTATTTTATTATTTCTATTTTTTAATGTATGCATATTATTACTTATGTGTTTTTGTTTCTTATTTGTTTCCGTGTTGCATGCGTTGCTTGCCTCTAGGTCGAGACGTTCTAGTCAAGACATAAATGCATTTTCCAGGAGTGTGGATCATTTAGCACCGCTGCCTTTAAAAAGGTAAGTCAAAATTTAACTGGCAGAAATTGATAAGTAAGTCACCTGATAACTTTCTCTAATGAAACGATTTTTAATACAGAAAATTATTTTCAAATTCTATTACAATTCAACTACATTAATTTTTATTAGACTTGCAACGAATAGTATATTCGGCAGTGTACCGAATACCGAGAACTGAATGTTCGGCGAATACCCTGATCGAATAGCTAAATATTAGGCAAAACTATTAGGCTGGATTTTAACGCTAAAACTTGTACAAATATTATTGCTTCGCGACAGTTCTGATTAATAACATTTTGCCGCTTAATGATATACAAATCTTCCTCACTGTTCATAAAATATAATAATTCCACAAATATATTGTAAAGTGGTTGAGCAAATTAAAAGTTTTTTTTCCATGCATAATCATAGCAGTTTTTAACTTCCCGTAAGGTAACTTATAGTAATCGCCAAAAAATCGAAAATGAAAATTTTTATATACGAGTATCTTTGCATTCGAAAGGTTTCTGAACATTTTGGCATACCTTAGAAAATATGGATGCATGTGTGTGCGGATATAAATTTTCCTCGACGATTTTGTGAACACGTAATAACCGATTTAAATAATTCAAATAACAGTCGATTCCTACTTATAAGGAGACGTGCTGATTAGTTTTTGGCAAAGGCAGGTCTAGCCGTTTCGGAGATACGGTGCAAAATGTGCCAAAAACGGTATTTGAGTTTTTGAGATAACAGACCACTAGTTTTTTTAAGTATTAATGCGCATTTTATTGAACGAGAATTCAATATCAAACATGAATTATTAAATATCGAGCATAATGAGGGATAACGCTGCAAGTAATACAACTTTTTTTCTATAATACTTAGGATAGTTTACCAAGAAAAAAAGAAACTATTTTCTAGAAATGCAGAAAAATTAGACACACTGCATACCATAACCTTTTACTTCCAAATTTCGATTATAAAACCGATTTAAATGCGAAAAAACTTGCTAACTTTTCTTATTATTTTCCAGTGGTAAGAGAAATAAAACAGATATATTTTTTATATACGCAATGAGCATTTTTTTTTATTTAGAGTATTCGTCATTCGCCCGAATAATATGTATATATTCGGTATTCGGACGAATAGTAACCAAATATTCGCTGCAAGTCTAATTTTTTGTGTATTTTCTTTCTATAGTCAAATGTTTTAATTTTATTTATCCGAAAGCCGAAAACTAATTGTAGGTCATATTAAATTAATATTTAAAAAAATGGATTTTTAATTATGTTTTCTATGCAACTGTTTAGGTATTTTTTCTATGATCTATTTCTGATCTTCAAATTGCACGAAAGATTTTGTTTGATTTTGCATGTTTTTGTGATCTTATGAATACGTTGCACGCGCGCTTGCTTGGCGTTTGAATTGGCAGTTTAGATAAACATAGAACAGAAAATATTCATAATTGATAATTCTTACTATTTATATATTAATTTATTCAGAGTAGTATTATTTATATATTTATATTTTCTTTCCAGGAGCAAAAGTCGTAGTGTTGACCACGGTCTTACAGCGCCGTACGATTTGGACACACTTCGTTCGAAAGTAGAAGGAAGAATCGAAAGTGTCGATCGACTTGCCAAAGGTAATTTTTTATGTTTTTTTTTCATATATATAGAGAAAATTCAACAGATATTACGAACGTTTTCGGGAATTTAGTAATAAGCCAATTATGAGTTGAAGTAATTGTTTTAACTTTACAAAGCTAGTAAGAACTATGTGATCTTACAATATAGATCATCTAATACATGATGTCTTTGTAAATTTAAATATATGTCAATATTAATTAAGAAATGTTGTTTCAAATAAATAATTGAAGTGATTTTTTAGCAGAGGAGGAAAGAAAACGTGCTTTGGCTCAAATTCCTACAGTGCCATATACAGTCGGAGATAGAGATACATTGACTTCTGTTGCTGCTAGATTTGATACAACTCCATCGGAATTAACGGCGATAAATAGACTTGGAAGTAATTTTATATTTCCAGGACAAGTGCTGCAAGTTCCTAGCAAAAAATCAGAAGGTATATCAATCAATTTCTAAATTTCTTTTTTTCATTCTCTATTTTATTTACAACTGCCCAGTTAAGGACATTAAGTAAATTTGGGGAATTTACAATTGTCAATCGTAAAGGTACATTGTATACTAAATTGACATGTTGAAAAAACAACTTAATTCTTGTTTTTCCATTCGTTTTAATATTAACAATATTTTAATGACAATGATGTGATATTAACTATTACATCTAAAATTCTACGTGCTATAATATTTCCATCTTTTATTTTGAAAATTCTTCAAACTATTTTTTGATGTAAGCAAGTTTTTTTTACACCATGAAAAGTAAATCCATTCTCGCCTTTACTCTACTTATTTATGTAGTAACGGAATTAGTTAAAAATAGTTCAGAATACAATATATAGGGGAATACAATGTAGGGGAAGTACGAACAAAATGACAGGGTGTTCTATTTTTTAATGATATTTATTTATTTGATGGTAATATAATCAGACGCAATCGATTATATTCTTTTAATGTTTATTGACTAACAGTAACATAGTCTTTTCATTATGTAAAAACTTTAATAACATATTTATTAAGGCAAAATGCAACCTATTCCATATGTCCATACTATATCAATAAAATGAAATATAAGATAAAGACAATCTGAGATACTAATTTTTGAGAATGAAGTTTACAAATAAATCGTTTAGTCTTCTTTGAAACATCAGCACATGATGCATGAGACCAAAGGGAACAAATTGTACATCATAAGTATCACAACCAAAGTATCTTCCTGTTACCGGTAGATCCTTCAGCCCATTTTTCCTTGTTCTTGCACGAACTACCCCCTAATTCTTGCTCAATAATACTATGTCGTTTTGTCCCATAAATGAACAAAAATGAATAAAAAATCAAGAACCTGATAATTGCAATAAAACTGATCGAAAATACTAGTACTGACATTAGTTTATTGATTTTAATTAAAAACATACAAATAACAATAAATAAGTCCCAAAAAACATATCAAAAGCAC